GAGGGGGTGAAGGGAGGGCAGGGGAATGGGGAAAAAAATAAGAACCAAAATACATCATGTAATGGTACAAGATCCCAATTATGAATATAACTGTATTTTATACCTAAAATGTACCGACAAACTTAATGGAAAAAAAAAAAAGACTGGTGACCTTAGTTACATTACCCTCCCTCTCTGAGTTTCTGGTTCTTGGTCTGCACAATGGAGACCAAAGCCCTCCTTCTGAAGGTTATCTGTACAGAGGGCCTGGTGCATGGGCTCAGGCAGTAGATGAGTGTTAATGGTAAAGGGAGGCAGAGGAAAAAACAACAGGGCCACCAACAATAGTAATAAAAACACCAATGGTCCCGCTACCATTTAGGGGTGCATTTACACCACACGCCATACACTGTGCTGCTGTTTCAGCATTAATTCAGGTAGTCCTTGCAGCATCCCTTAGAGTTCCATTCTTAAAAACACAAAGATGTTTCTATGAACAAGATGAGAGGATCTTTTGCCATGAATTAGAAAGGGGTTATGTTCAGATAGTGCTTTGGGTAGTGGCAAAGCTTCTGAGTCAGCACCGCAGCTCCTTTGCATTGTTACTGATGTGACCATCAACCAGTGGCTCCAGGTGCCACTGCAGCCTAATGCTGACCTCTGGGAGGGAGATAGAGAAGGTGGAGGGGCAAGGACTTTGGAGTCATGTGAACCTGAGTTCAACCTGCTTCTTCCCTGCAGCCTGTGTGATACTGAACTTCTCTGAGATTCAGCTTTCTCATTTAGAAATTTATATTAGGAATAATAGCAGTAAGGAGTAGAGTTCATCTGCCTCACAAGCCTGGCACCACATACTAGGGTTCCAACAGGTCTCTTCTCCATGCCCACAGAAATCAACCAACACTCTGGCTCAGCCCCGCCTCTCAGAGACCAACCCAGGGACCAAGGCTGCCTTGTTCACCCTTCACTGACTTAAGGATGCCAACCAAGGCCTGTCTGCCCAGACGCTGGCTTTGTCTGCAAGGTACTGCTAGAGGGTGGTGGCAGGAGAGAGCAGCCCTGCCTCTGAGGGCACAGCCTGCTGATGCCCATTGCCATGAGTGCCTCATTCGGCCCAGCAAGCAACACCAGAGCACATCTCTCCACCTATGCAGTCTTCTTGGAAAATCAAAGCTGCCTCTGATTAATCGTCATTAGACCCTTGGCTCACTGCATCCAGAGAGATGAATGGATTTGGAGCGGATGGAATGCAGATCCTGCCACAGCCAGCTGTAAGAAAATGCCAATAACTGAGCAGGGTCGAGGCCTTCAGTGTCTCCTGATGAGCAGGCAGAGCCTCTGCTCCCCCTGAAGGAGGTGACCACCCATCCCTTCCACCATATCCTTTCCATACATCACAGCCAAAGACTCTGTCACCTGCCCAGACCCCTGCCCTGCACCACCCCAGGAGCCAAGGGCAAGGGGAGCAGAGTCAGAAGCCCCAGTTGTTTACAGGGTGCGATGGCACATACCTGTAATCCACCACTCTGGGTGGCTGAGCAGGAGGACCGCAAGTTCAAGCCCAGCCTGTGCAACTTAGTGAGATCCAGTCTCAAAATGAAAAATTAGAAGGGCTTGGGATGCAGCTCAGTGTGGAAGAATAAGAAGAAAAGAAGGGCGGGGGGAAGAGGAGGAAGAATAAGAAAAAGAAGAGGAAGAAGAGGAGGAAGAAGGAGCTGCCCCTGTTTGTTATTAGCAGAACTCATGGAAGAAAGTCTATGGGCAGCGGGGTTGGGATGGCCTCTGTATCTTGGCAGCCACCCCTCAGTAGGATCTTGGAGTTCCTTGTCCCCACAGTGGGGGAAGACAGCTTTACCTGAAGGTCTGAGCCAGCTGAGCCAGCTGCAGCCAGGCCTCGCAGTTGCTCAACACACTCTGTTGCAGTCCCTGCTCTCGTGGCCTAAGGGGAGCTGCACTCAGGGAGCCCTGGGTTCCAATCAATGGCAAATTACTTACCCTCTCTGAGTCTCTGATTCTTCATCTTTAAAACAGAGACAGAAAGACCTCCCTCCTGGGCTTACGATGGACAAAAGGTCTAACACAGGGAGTTAGGCAATCAAAAACACTAATGATAGCTCTTCCTGTAGGCGGCCAGAGGTGACCTGTGAAAATGGTTGGCTACTCTCTTGACCCAGAAAACCCCACAAAATCACACAAATCCAGAGGCTCAAATCTTCATGTTCACTTTAAGAACACCCATGAAACTGCCCAGGCCATCAATTGTATGCATATCCGAAAGGCCACCAAGTATCTGAAGGATGTCACATTAAAGAAGCAATGTGTGCCATTCAGGCGCTACAATGGTGGAGTTGGTAGGTGTGCCCAGGCCAAACAGTGGGGCTGGACACAGGGCTGGTGGCCCAAAAACAGTGCTGAATTTTTGCTGCACATGCTTAAAAATGCAGAGAGTAATGCTGAGCTTAAGAGTTTAGATGTCGATTCTCTGGTCACTGAACATATTCAGGTGAACAAAGCATCCAAGATGCACCGCCGGACTTACAGAGCTCATGGCCGGATTAACCCATACATGAGCTCCCCCTCTACATTGAGATGATCCTTACTGAAAAGGAACAAATTGTTCCTAAACCAGAGGAGGAAGTTGCACAGAAGAAAAAGATATCCCAGGAGAAACTGAAGAAACAAAAACTTACGGCACAGGAATAAATTAGGCATAAAATAAATGGAAATAAAAGTGAAAAAAAACCCACTAATGATAAAAGGAGACAAGCAAAGAACAGGAGCCAATGATAGTAATAATGAAGACAGTAACAAATCTAGCTACCCTTCTTCAGTCCCAACCACATGCCAGGCACTGTGCTCAGCATGGTGCATGACGAACTCACATAGTCCTCACGGCCCCTCTCAGAGGCACATACCATTGTGGTCCCCATTTTTAGAGCCATATAGCCACTAGGAGGCCTCAGAATCCCCACACTCCCTGCAATGTCCCTGGCTTTCTGCTCTGGGCCATCTTCCCACTGGGAACCCATGCGCAACCGCATGTGTCACCTGGTGTGAGTGGGGACAGAGAGGGGTTGAGTAGGAACAAGCATTGGCTTCCAGTGGGTCTGGGGCCTTCCATTCCTTCCTGCCCCTAGCAGAGTAGTAGACCATGTCACTGCCTTGATCCGTCATACCCAAAACCTCCAGGGACTCCCCCAAACCTCTGGGATGACACCCAAGGCCGCAATCATCTGCGTCTCCAGCACTCCCCTTCCCCTTCCCTGCATGGGATGCGGCTGATCCAGCACGAGCTCCGGGATTGGGGCGGCAATCCCCACACCTAGCCCCACAAGGACTATGACAATGATAAGAATTGTGGGGAAAGTACACTTCATGAGGACCAGGAAACGGAAGATAAGGTACAAGGACCAAAGGGACACAGGTGGGAGACATAAGCCCCACACTTGCCCTTGCTCCACCAAGCAGCCCCAGTTGACTACTGGGGTCTTTTTCCCTGCTACCTGGTACCTGTGTCCTGGGCAGTGGCAGGGAGAGGAGGGCAGAAGGGTCAGTGACTCTCCCCCACTGTGCCTGTGGCCACTCAGCTGTATGGGACCCAGATGGGACAAAAAGGAAAACAGACAATGGCTCAGCCAGTCAGGAGAGGCTGAGAGGGCTGTATCCCCCTCCCCGCTGCATGTGGCCAGCTGGACACAGTGACCCGGAAGGATCCTCTGTGCTCCATTTGTCATTCTTCAGACAACAGGCAATGGGGCCAGACCCCGAGGCCTCACCCAGACAATCCCACATCCTGCACACACAGTACAGTGCCCCAGCCTCACCTCATCGACGTCTATCTTGTTCCGCTCCATATAGTCCTTGTCGTTGACCTGCCCGCCCTCCACAAACTCCATCAGTAGCACCCGCTTGGTGGACAGCTCCCAGTAGATTCGGGGGACCTGGAACAAAAAAGGGCTGGTCACTGCAGGAGAGGCTGGAGGTCAAGAGCCAGGATCACAGCAAGGCCCAGCAATGGCAGGCCCTTCCTCCCCACGGGGGACTCAGGGAGATTGGGCCCGTAGAGAACGGCCCCACCCCACTTGCCCGCTCCTGTAGAGATCCCTCCTCCTTGGGGGCTAGAAAGTGGCCTCCTCACCCCCGCAATGTCTTCCACACTGGGCCCTGGGAGGGAAACATGGAGCGGCTCACCCTGGACACTGGTGTTCAGAACCATCCCCTCTCACCCACACCAGGCTACTCCAGGCTCACAAACACCCTCCCCGCCACTGCAGCTTTCTCACCAGGTGACAGGTGCTGTAGGTGAGCAGCAAATGGATGGATCTTTACCAGATGCTAAGTTCTGACTCTCAGGCCAGTTTCCTACAAGCCCCATGTGGACACTATGCCGTATCTTAACCTAACATCTATCTCCAAGCCTCCTCTTCACCAGAGATGAAAAAGAACGCTTTCCTTACTGGTCTTATGGTACATGTGATCATGTGATTCCATTCTGGCCTATCAAATCTAAGTAGTTTGCTAGGGGATTCTGAGAAAGTTTTTATTTTCTTGATTAAAAACGGAATTTTGGAATGGAACTACTCTGCTTCCTCTTCCTGCCTTAAAAATGAACATGATTTCTAGAGCAGCAGCAGTAACCTTTCAACCATGAAGAAGAACCCAAGAAAATCAGGCTACTAAAACGGTATCTATAGGCAGCTGCTGCAAACCTTGCTGCTATGTGAAGAAAATAAATTTTTTTGTTTTAGTTATCTGCAAACAACCGCAATACTAACTCACAAACTCTCTAACTCCCTCTGACTCTGAGAACACGAAAAGCCAATAAGAGAACAGATTCCCCCAGGAGCAGGGAAGAGGTTTGAATTATCAAAGGCTGTCATGATGCCACACAAGTGGGTGACAGCTATCAGGACCACTGCAGCCAGGCAGCTTTCCGCATGCTATGTTTCCCCAAAATTTGGTGGGGCTTATTCCTCTTACAAATAAAAAACAAGACCAGCTAATTCAAATATTTTGAAGAATAAGATCTCCCCTTGCCCTAACCCCTCACTCCTAGAAACAAGATCATGGCTCTCAATCCAGAGACCTACTTTCTGTTCCCAATTCTATGGAAACTTGCACTCAGCTCATTCACTTAACTCCTAATGCCTCAGTCTCCCCACTGGCAAGAAGCATTGTTTCTGCTCCACTCAGGAAGGGGCACTGAGGGCAAGTGGGGCCACTACACACAAGCAAAGTCCTCTGGTTGGAACCTTGGCTCCAACTGACACCAAGGAGTTCTCTTGCTCTGCCACTTCTTTTGAGTTTTGCCATTTGAAAATCTAGGCCAATAGAGAAATCTGTGACTGTCTGTTCCTTTGGACTTAAAACGTAGGCTTGCTTGACAGTTTTCAAAAAGCATCTTTTTAAAAACAAACCGAAAGTGAGCCTAGTGATGCAGGCCTATAATCCCAGCTACTTGGGAGACTGAGGCAGGAGGATTAAAAGTTTGAGGCCAGCCTGGGCAACTCAGTAAGAACATGTCTCAAAATAAAATAAAAAGGGCTGGAAGTGTAGCTCAGTGGTAAATCATGTGTGTAGTATGCATGAGGCCTTGAGCTTGATCCCCAGTACTGCAAAATAAAAAAGAGTGTAAATTCATTTACTGTTTTTGTTCATGGTTTCTAAGTGAGAGGGATGTCATTTTGAGTTAATTTCTTCCTTCTGTTTGGAAAACTAAGTGTGGCATTGGGCCTGGGGCTTTGGAGACAGGAGGTTACACTCCCAGCAGGGTCCCTGGGGACACATGGAGGACACCAGGACAGCTACTATGGAAGGAGGACCCAAGGTGGCAGTGCCTGGGGCTGGCCAGGCAGGGCCAGTGTGCTGGATGCCCTCCTCCATCTCTGCTCCCTCTTCTGTGACCAGTGCAGTTTGACCATAGAATATAACCTTTGCCTCTGCTGCTCAGGTCTGAAATGACAGAAATACCGAATGTGGGGAATGGAGAGCTCGATGCGGGAGCTCAGGGAAGGCCATAGACAGATACAGCGTGACTATGACTGCCCAGTGCCCAGTGCTCCTTGCTCAGTCAGGAAGGTGACTCGCCCTGCAAATCATCGGATGGGCAGGAGGGTCTGGAGTGCGGTTAATGTTCACATCACCTCACACGCAGGCCTCACCTTCATCCCTCCCACCCCACTTCTTCTGTCAAGGAACAGAAGGATCAAAGAGGAAAACTGACCCCCCGCCCCCAAACAAACCATCACAAATCCCTGAGAGGCAACATCACACCTGGCCATGGACCTTGGGTCTGTATGCCTGCCACAGAGCAGGGGCTCTACCTGTGGGATCCACCTGCTCCCACACTGAGGCCAATGCTGACCCCAAAGAAGAGCAGATTCTGGAAAGTTCTACCCAAGACTCTGGGAGGCTTCCACCTCAGTGTGGCCTGACCTTATGCTGCTACTTTGTTCCTGTGCTTTGGCTTGTCCCCCTGCAGCCACAGCCCAGCAAGGCAGAGTGCAGACCCTCAGTCAGATTGATGGGTAAGGCCACAATGCTGCCTCCGACAAGCTGTGTGACTATGGGTCAGTTTTACAGCCTCTCTGAGCCAGTTTTACAAGCCCCACTTCTGTTAGCGAAGCAGCATAGTACCAAACACCTGGCAACTGCCAGACAAACATCAGCTGCCCTCATGACTGGCACACAGTGAATCACAGACATTGTGATCCACACCAGGGCGGGTGGTGCCGCAGATGGTCCACCATAATTCATCTTTCCCATGAAGCATCACAAAGGCAGAGGAGCTTGGTGGTTTGAGGCCGAGCCAGGGTACCTCCTCTCAAATCTCCTTTCTGCCCCTTACTGGAATCCTGTATAAATTTGGACAAATGATTTGATCTCTCCAGGCCTCAGTTTCCCCATGAAGATATGATGTTAACAAATTCAAAAAAAAAAAAAAAAAGATACAATGTTAAGAACGGCACCACCCTGGTAAGCATGGTGGTACATGTCTAAAATCCCAGCACTCTGGGAGGCAGAGGCAGGAGGATTGCAAGTTCGAGCCCAGCTTGGGCAACTTAGCGTCTTAGCAAGACCCTGTCTCAAAATAAAACACAAAAAAGGGCCAGGGATGTAACTCAATGTGAAGGCCCTGGGTTCAATCCCTAGTCCCAGGAGGGGTGGGGAAGGTACCTCCCTTGTGGGGCTGTTAAAAGGATTAAAGAGTAAATACATGTAAAGCATTTTAAAAGTGTGTAACACAGTGAATGCATATCAAAATGTTAACTATTCATTACACATGAGTAGTTGCTAATCTTTAAGATTCTAGGAAGCTATGATGCTTCTTCAAAAGCATAACATCGGGCTGGGGATTTAGCTCAGTGGTTCTGGCGCCTGTCTCACAAGCACAAGGTCCCAAGTTCGATCCCCGGTACCAAAAAAAAAAAAAAAAGAAAGAAACTACCAAGCAAAAGCATAACATCCCTCAGGGTTTGTGCGTAGTTTCAGGCTCCTCAACTCACAGGAAGAAACCGTGGGGTGACTCCGCCATGACACGGCCCACTCCCACGCCCACCTCCACACCCACTCTCCTCTCTGCCAGGCCCAAGCACATTGCTCAGAGGCTCCTCCCTTGCTGCCCTGTCGCCAGCTATCTTCTTGACCATTCAGCCTGGCTGGCCCCACCTTCCTCCAGCCTCCTGAACACCTTATTTGCATTCAGTGCTTGTCCGCGGCACAGAGATTTACCGCATGGGGCCGAGGTTATTAAACCCCACAGAAGCACTGGAAGACACCTCACACACTGAGAGGTAAAAACTCTTTGCTGAGGCATAATTACGCACAGATGTTGGGATGGGGTGCCAGCGTGCAAAAGCAATCTATCTCCAGTTTTAAGAGCTGAACTGAGTTCACAGTGCAAAATTCGCTTCCTGCTTGTGGTGTGTTTAGGCAAAATGAATTACTCAGGAGCCTCTGTTCCACCATTGTCTTAGGAACAGTGTACAGTTCTGGAGGCAGCAGGTCAGATTGGTATATTAATTATTTACCCATGTGGCATACTCGTTTCACAAATTTGTGTCATTATTATTACATGTCTTGGTCTGGCCATTGGTAGTTGGCCCAGCCAGGGGACAATTTTGCCGTTTCCATGGAAACAGTGGAGGAGATGTTTCTGTTTGTCTGGCTCACAGCTCTAGCTCTGAGGGGCTCCCCTGCCGGGTAAAAGGCAGCAGAAAATCCTGAGATGAGCACCAGACTTGGAGTCAGAAAACCTGGATTGTAGCCTGAGCTCCTCTACTCAAGGACTGTCATCTGTAAGATGGGATGATGGCCATTGGAATGATTTGCTGTCACAGTACCTGCACTGTCTGATGCCACTGTGCCTGCCTGACAAAGAAGAAACATTTAATAAATATTGCTTACTCCTCTGTACAGTCAAGACTTTTTAGAAGCCCTCTAATTACTTCATCTTGGGAACCACAAAAACAAAGCAGTGTCTGTCACATCGTGAAATAATCTCTACTATACCAATACATTTGTGTGTTCCTGCCCCATAAAACGGGAAGTTGTCCAGGGCAAGAACCAACCTCCAGCTCTTAGCACAGCAACCGGCTCAGGAAATGCTCGATAAATGTAGGATAAAGCAATGTTAGGGAATGGGATACGCAAGCAGAAACATATTTTGGGCCCCACAGCATTATGCTAATTAACTCATATTACTCTTTGTCTGAGGGAACCCAGTTTTCATTCGACTGGTAGTTTGAACTTGAAGGCTAACGCAGTGTTTTCGGATCCACTCTGCACTTCTGGATTCACATGCACAAAGAAATCTAGACATTCATAACTACAACAGAGGCCATCAAAAACCCAGGTGAGAAAAAAAAAAAAAACCCAGGTGACCACAGAACACCCTGGAGATGGTCTAAACTTCACCTTCCACCAAAATCAGTGTGTCAAGACACTGCGCTCACTGATCATCACAGCTTTTCTTCCCATGAGCCAGGCCTTGCGATTCCCAGGTGGTTAGTACAGATATATCCTTCCTAATCTGGGTAAAGGAAGTATATAAGCAATATCTCCATGTCTCTCGATGTCTTCCAAAGCCAGAACAGAGCCTTTCCTGCTCCCAGCCAACCTCCCTTCCCACCGGAGAGCTAAATGACTGGGCACTCTGGAACTCATACATGGAGCTCTTAAGGATTCTATGACTCCCTTCCCACTTTCTCCTGGCCTCCTGAGTGATGAGAAAAAAGCTGATCTCTTCTAGAGTTGAAAGCAAAACTCCCTGGGTAGAATCCAAGGAAGACTCTCCAACCTTTACACCATCATAATGAAGGGAATGCCTGATAAATGGGTATAAACTCCACCAAGGATTTCACTCATTCCAATCCTTATTTGCCCCATGGGGACATCAGGACAGTCCTCAAAGACCAGCTCTTCTACCAACTCCTCAGCAAAGGCTTCCCTCACCTGATGGGCCATGAATGGCTTCTGAGTCCTCAGCCCACTCACCCACAGTACCTCTCATGGGGCACTGATAGCTGTGACTCTGTATTAATTGATACTGTTCCCACAGGAAGTGCCTTCTACTGCTGAGAGCAATTCTGCTATGCTGTTTTGGAAACACACAATTTTGTTCTAGTGTGGTTGAAAATTGCATCTGCTCTTGTGCCCTATCACCCACTAGACACAGAGTGAACATAGAAAACGGCAGCCAGATGAACACCTGCATGGGAGCACACAAAACACACACACATTTCAAACACAACATCTGGTGTTATAGGTTCCTGTCCCATTTCAGATGACCCTCCTTCTACTAACTCACAATAACTCACAAGGTTTCAAGGTAAGGTGCCCGTGTATTGCAGTCTTACATATTTCTCAGCGATTTAACATGTGTAACACTGGGCTATTGTTCTTATTAGTCCCTGTCTTTTCTTTTCTATGTCACAGATGTTTTTGAGTGCTTACCCCTATGCCCATTTCCCCCATAATCTCTGTAGGTTCTGTTATGCAATTTTGCACACTATAATGATTTCTAGGAACACATGTTGTGTTACAGCAGAACTAACTGCACATTAAATGAGCTAATGTAATATACATGTGCTTTGAACTGGACCGGCGTACAGTAGTGCTAGCTACCACCATCAGCACCAATACCCCATGCTTCATGGAGGCAGAGACCCCACCACACAGCCTCTCAGGTAGTGCTTGGTGCCTTGCAATTGTAGATTATGCAATAAAACATCTGTCCAATTGACTGATGGGTCAAAAATCAAACTAGGTACTTCTTTGGAAATTGCCTTGAAGGGCTTTAGTATGTATTACCAGTGACAAACCACTCATCTTCAGAAAGAAAACTAAGGAAGGAGATGTGCTATAAGAGAGATGTTCACATAAAAAAAAACTGAGAGATGTTCACAGCATGAATCAATCCTCCCACCAGACCACCATGGCCCCCTAATGCCAAGCCCCTCCTACCTTTAGGAAGTCAAAGTGCTGGAGCATTTGGGCCACTTTCTCAGCATTCCTCCCTTCATTGAGGAAGTCCAGCTCCAAAGGCAGGTTCTTCTTAGCTTCGTCCACCAGCCACATAAACTCAAACTCTGGGAATAGCTGCTTCACAGCCAAGACAAGCACCTGAAATCCACCAAATAGCCCATCAGTCTGTTCACAACATACATGAAGGGCCCTCCCTACCCTCTGCCTGGGTCTTTCGTGGAGTAAGAGTGCATGGGGAAACCTGGCTGTATCTCTGTCCAAGATATATCAGCCCAGCAGCCACCAGCAGTAACCATGGCTCCCATTTGCTGGCTGCTCCCCATGTGGCAAGCATCAGGGTGAGTGCGTTACTTACCATTCCACTTAAGCCTTACAACTCCAGGACATACATGGGTAACCCATCCTATCATCCACATTTCTATTATGGATGAGGAAGCTGGGGCTTTGAGAGTTTGTGTGATTTCCTGAATTTGCCCAGCAAGTAAAGTACAGAGTTAGAATTCCATTTTGGCCTACCCAACTCCAAAACCCTTGCTCTTAAGCATTTTGCCACACTGTGCTGTTGCTACTCCCAGGTTTATTCTTCAAGATCCCATCTGCAAAGCACTTAAGAGGAGCTTCGTCTGTAACTGTCATTTCTTTTTATTAAGCCTAGTGATTAGTATTTGAGTATTCATAATATAGGTTGAGCATCACTGATTTAAAAATCTGATATCCAAAATGCTCCAAAATCCAAAATTTTCTGAGTGCTGATATGATGCCATGAAAATTCCACGCCAGACTTCATGTGACAGGTCTCAGTCAAAATACAGGCACACTAAACATATTGTATAAAATTACCATCAAGCTCTGTGTGCAAGGTGAAGGAGAAACATAAATGAATTTTTATGAGTCTCAGGCACAAGATATATCATTATGTATAAGTATTTCCAAAATCTGAAAAATCTGAAACACCTCTGATCCCAAGCATTTTGGATCAGATGATCTGAAGTATACCTGTATTAACTTCTACATTTTCTGAAAAGCATATTTAATTAAAAAATTAAATGAGAATAAGGGAACAAACAGGCTGGACAACATGAGAGAGATAAAAGATAAGGGATTTGACAATCCAGATAAAAAGCTTGTGTTTTTGGCAATTTGAGCCCACTATGGATTCTTGAGTGATGGCATGAAGAAAATGGAAATTTATAAGATGTATCTGGCATCAAGATGTTAGTTTAATGACACCTTAGTTAAACATTAGGACCAGAGAACAAAAGCCCAATAATGTGTGCAGTGCACACGACAGCCCCTCTGGGGCAGGGACTCAGCTTGAAGGCTCCCCCATGACCAGGCCCCTAAACGTGTGATGATTTCACAAGTTCACAGATAATGGCTCTGTGATGAGTGAGCAAGGGTGCCACCAGCAATGTGGGAGGCTCTAGAATTCAGGAGGGAAACACAGAAGGCAACCCACCTGCTGTCCTAATCCCTCCTCTTGGCATTCAAAGCCAGGCCTGGACAGAAACACTGACTGATCACCCCAGTGATTCTCAGTATAGACTGCAGCCCAAGTGCTTCAAGAACATCCATCTCTACCTGTGGCTACAGCAGATGGCATTCAGCAAGAACTAGAAAATCATGGGTTTGTTGGTATCAGAAGACCTTCAGTCTTCCTGGATGGATTTCCTGAGCCGCAGCTAAGAGCCCTGTCTATGCCTCTGTCTGCACTGGACTCGAATATTATGCATATTGGGTCAGGCATATGTGATACAAAAAACACAAAGCTATTAACTACAAAGCATTTACAGCTCTGTTTTTAAACTCTATGTCCTAGGTGATGTACCAGACACTATTCTAAAAGAATCATCACACAGGGTTATTATGGTCAATTTCTAACAAACCTCTTTTTAATTACATTAGGCTGTAGTCTCATTTCTTTTTACTCTTGTCTAGTCTCTCATGGCTAGACCTGTGACCTTATACCAATTGATTTCATTTGTTTTGTTTCTGTTGTGTCACATGAAACAAGGGAGAGGAGGCAACAGAGAAGCCAGGACCACAAGTGTCAGACACAGGGACCTGGACACAGCAGCCTCCAGGCATTGCATCTCATCACGTGTCCCCAGATTGCCCTCAGCTGCCACCAAAGTGGAGGCAAAGCAAGCCCACAGGAAACAGAAGTGACTTGCCCAAACTGATGTAGGTCATGTAGGTCATTGAAGGCACCAGAATTCCACTTTCTGGGCACTGAGTTCAGGCAAGCAAAGCTCTATGGAATTTTGCTCCAGTCTAATTTCTAGAGGGCCTGGCAGAGGAAGAGCAGGACAGGAGCCACGGTGAGGTTTCCTCCTTCAATCAGTACTGACAAATTACCTGCAGGCAGCTGTCTCGGGACAAACAGGGATGTACACAGGGAGCTACCTGCAGCACAGAGAGGTCCACACCTTGGGGGAAGCTTCTGCCAAGCAAAAATTCCTCATCATTTATTGTATGGTCATTATATTTGTGAAATTTTTAATTATCATTAATATCCAAATAGCACTGAAAGGTACTTTAAAGATTTTTTCCGTTACTAATCAATTATATAATTAGACATTATTATTATTAATATCTCAGGCCGTTAATCATTAAAGCAGTCATAGACTTTACTGACTAATAGTAACTGCTAATAACTAACTAGTAAATTAATTCATAATCCAATAAACTCCACAGCACTCATAAAGCTAATTTCTGAAGCATTCTGTAGATGGTAAGTCACTCTCTTGGTTACAATAGTCCCCCAACTTTTTTCCTGGGGATTGAACCCAGGGCCTTCACACTGAGCTAATCCTAGCTCTTTTTTATTTTGAGACAAGTTCTTTCTAAGTCACTAAGCCCAGGCTGGGCTTCAACTTATGATCTTCATGTTTCGGCCTCCCAGAGTACTGGGATTGCAAGTGTGCACCACCACACCAGGCTACTACTGTCCCCTATTATCCAAGGAGGATATGTTCCAAGACCTCCACTGGATGCCTAAAACTGCCAATGATACCAAATCCTATATATAATATGTCTTTTCCTATACATACAGAGCTATAATTTATATATGTTAGGCACACTAAGAGATTAACAAAAATAAGTAGATTATAATATACTGTAATTAAATTAATCGCTTTACTCTCTCTCTCTCAAAATATCTTACATGTACCTACTACGGCTAACTATGTGTAAACAAGACTGCAGATAACTGAAACCATGGACAAGGGAGCCTCCTGTCCGAACAAGAGGCTGCCTTCAGTGGAAGTCAGTGGCTCTTGATAGTAGATCACCATCTCTCATAGGAGGCTGCCAACTTGAAAATCTGATGCCAGCCATGAAGCCCAGAAAATGTACAAACTCACTGTTTTGCACCTAACTCTGGAGGTTCACCAACTCCCTGACATTCACTGGGTGGGGAAGGAAGTCAAGTTACGAGTCATCTGGTCCAAGAGCTTTGGGCTACTGGCTTTAGACTTTTCTTGGCCGAGTAAAGTAAAATAAAACTCCTTAGCAAAGCTTTGGAAGTAGGGAGGAGAAAAAGGGCTGAAGGGAGAGGAGAGAAATGGGAAAAAAAAGAAGAATCAAGATATATTATGTACAGGTACAAATTCCCTATGATGAATGTAATCAGTATGTATATCAAAAGTACACCAATAAAATTAATTTTTTAAAAACTTCTTAGGTTCACCTTCTGTTTTCACTCCCTTCCTTTCTTAAGAGCCTGCCCCAAGTAGACTCATTTTGGTTTCTTTTTTACAATAGATGCAATCAACTAAAATAAAACAGGTGTTGTCAGCAATTTGCCTTTTTAAATTTTCTCCTGTATCTTTTCTATAAAATTCTTCCAACAGCCATTGTTTTCATCAATGCCTACCTCATACTCAACACTCCACAGATGTTTACTGGACATTACAGGAATGTGTAAGTGGATAAATAAATTAACACATGAATAGTTCAATGGGTTTGTTTCCTCCTCTGAGACAACTATATGGCCTCATTTGTGGTATTGAAATATATTGAGGTTTTCATTCTTGAGATTTTGGTGGAAAAGGGGGATCACTGCTGAATTTGGGGGAACCAAAGTTTCAAAATAACTGAGAATTTTCCACTAAATCTGTAAACTTATGAATCAATCAAGGTATATTCAATAATTAACACTTCCTTCAAGGTAAAGTCATGAAACTGTTTTCCTATAGACCAATTGGCTCACAATAAGAAAAAAAAATCAATTGTGAGCCACACAGAAACACAACAGAAAAATGAAGAGTCACATAGAATCTTAAAAACTAGTGCTCATAATTTACAACTGCAAAAAAAATAGAAATTAATATTATTTAGTTCCTGTATATACCAGGCATTGTGCCATAAGGCATTTTATATACATAGTCTCATCTCATCTTTTTCTTGCCCATTTCACAGATTTCCAGGAGGTTAAAGCACACACAGTACTTTTGGGGGGAACTGTCAAGACAGGATCTGGAGCCGGGTTTTTCTTGTTCTTTCTTTATGCAGTTCTGCCTCATGCAATACAATGTAGGATAATACAACAGGAAGCTAAGATAAGGCAGACAGAGAGCTTTGCAAATTGTAAAATGCAGCTAAAATGTAAGTTACTGTTATCAAGTTATTACACACTATAAAAGAAATAATGTTCTATGGAAAAGCAGCACATAAACAGAATGTCTGCACCAATCCAAATTAGTAAAAAATGGATGTTGGACAAGGATCAAAAATCAATTCAGAGTTATGTAAATAGCTTGGCATTCATGTGGTTCATCGTTGTTCTGATAAGTTATTAAAGTGCATGATTTTTAGAAAACAGAATTACAGGGTGAAGAGAAGTTTTCATGGGATGGCTTACATCTCTGCATATTTTACATTTTTTTTTTTTTTAAATCAGCCGTTGGATTCTGTGCCAACACAGACATTACCTAGCCACCCACTCTTCAATCAGCACATTTAGAAAAGAAACAAGATGACAGACAGCATGCACTGGATGCTGCTCAAAAAAAGTCAGAAACATAAGTCACAGGTCTTTATTTTTAGAGATCCTTGGGATGGGCTGGACAACACAAAGCGGTAAAACAGATTATGGTACTCAGGACAACAAATTCTTCCCCAACATACAACAGAGC